GTCATAAGCATATGGTTTCATGTGGCAAGGTTGCCATGTCATGTGCTTCTAGAGAGCCTGTGTTATTGATGGCAGTGGTGGCTGGTGGGGAAACACAAGTAGTAAACATCTAAAAAATGAACCTTGCTCAAAATTAGATTATAATATATACAAAATGGAAACATCCCAGAGACAAGAGTATAAATGTTTTACCGTTACAATGGAATATACCTAACTGCATCTCTATACAGCTCCAATTGCCGGATGCACTATGTATGTCTGCTTTTTTTATATCATAGCTTTCAGTACTGTACATTTCAATAACTCGTCATTTAATGCAATTAATCCCACCCATTTGAGGGCCCAATTATCATATAAAGAAACTGCATTTCCAGGTGTGACAAAACACACGGACTGAAAGCCCAAAGCCCAAACAAACAAGCAGATGCTTTTTCCACAGCAAACAGTGCACATAATGCTCTCATTGACTCCTGCTGAAGCATACAGGTGGCACCTAAAAATACTTATTTAGATGCTCCTGCTCCTTAAAGAAATATTTTTTTCCAAAAATAAAAATTCTGTCATTATTTAATCACCCTCTTGTCATAACAAAGCCATTACTTATGTCAAATGTGCCATTTTTTTTAATGCACATGCGAATAAGATTTCAGGGCTTAGAGGAAGATTTGATGTTCTTTCTATTTCTCTCACAAAGCTATTATACACTTTAGAGGTCATTTGGACTATTTTATGGTGATTTTTGTACTCTTTAGTGTTTGACACCCACGGTCACTATGAACTATCAATAATCATTTTATGGGAAAAGCTTAATAAAGATTTTTCTAAAAATTCTCATTTTGTCTTATATGGAAAAAAAGAATTTTTGGAACAACATGAGGGTGAAAAAAAATGACAAATGTGTTATTTTTTTCTGTCATCATTTACTCACCCTCATGTAGGGCTGGGCGGTATATCGAATTTGCATGATAGCCTATATCCAAATATTTTTTATAAACGATATAGTATGAGGCAATACCTCCTATATCAATATAACTTACAGTAGTTTAATACGAGCGCATCTGAAAAATAGCGGATAGGACACAAAGTGAGCTGCTGTGGGGAAAAGTGCATAATCCTTTTTGTCATAAACATGAGACATGATTCATTTTAAGGGCTTTAAAATAACTGGTAAGATACAGCTAACACATCTAGTTTAAAGCGGCTTGTCCCGTCAGGACAGACTCGTTTGCTGCAGACAGACACGTGCACTGTTTAACTTACATTTCACAGGTATGTTCTCTATCTGTAAATGTTAGAAAGTCATGGAAATATTTCCATTTTGCTGTCAGGAGTATGGAAGGCCAAAAGGGCCAAAAACACATAAATTTTAACACGTCAACAACATGTTAAATACACGTATTTCACATGTATTTAATGCGTATTTCACGCATTAAATACATGTTGTTTGTGCGTGAAAAACTCAGCACGTTAAATCCGCGTATTCAACACGTATATAACGTGTTAAATACGCATGAAATACGGGTTAAATACGCATTAAATACTCATGAAATACATGTTAAAATCAGTTTAAATAGGTCAGTGTCATTGGCTGCTGAAGACTTGGGTCAAACCATTTCTGTGAGCTTAGGGGGGTGTACCATTCATAGACTAGGCCAGTGGTTCCCAACCCCGGTCCTGGAGGCATGTTTTGCATGTCTCCTTAATCAAACACACCTGATTCAGGTCATCAGCTCATTAGTAGAGACTCCAAGACCTGAAACTGGTGTGTCAGAGAAAGGAGACATGCAAAATGTGCAGTGTTGGGTGCCTCCAGGACCAGGGTTGGGAACCACTGGACTAGGCTACCACCATTTACCATGCAATAGATCAGCTTATTCAGCCTATTTATTTAGTCCTTTTTTGTCTTTTTTTGTATAGCCTATAGAAATAATATATTTAAATTTTGTTTTTATGAAAAATTTGATAAAAATAAAATTGCCTCATTTTTCTTCACTCATGCCTTTTTGTAAATAAACACATTCGTGGGCATTCTAGCTTTAACAGTGATCAAACTTAAGTTAGCATCAAAGCATTAACATTTGCGTGGGGTAATCAGTTACAGTGGAGGTAAGCAATCAATGCAAGTTTAAGATACAGACCATTGTAATCAATATGTCTTTGGAAAACAACATGAGCTTTTATTGTGCTTACATTTACAGCTATCGCCAGCAGGTGGCATTTATTGAAACCTCTTTTTGTTCAGAGATTATGCACTCATCACACAAACAGTAATTAGGTACACAGGTGATGTTATCAATTTAAATGAATTTAAAAGACTTAAAGTATTTAAATATGGTATTTAAGACTTTATATAAGAATTTCAGGAATAGAATGAGAGCGTGTACTCAGGTCAGGACAGGTATAAGAACTTGATTTGGCTTTCCTGACAGCTGAAGTATTCTACTGTACCAAAGTCCTAGGCCACCCTGAAAATTGGTATTAACCCTTAAATGCATGGATGTTTTGCATATCATTATTACATATTCGGGTCTTTACCGACCCAGACCTATATATCCAACACGGATGGATCTCTAACTGCTGTAATAGCATAAAATTCTCCTGTTATTTTAATAACAATTACAAAAGAATAAAATAAAGCATATTTGGTTACCATTTGAAGCTTACAAGGGTTCAATTTGAGCAGATGGTTTTACCATCACTGTCATCGTCAGAGAGCAATTCCCCAGTACATTTAGCATCTGGCTCATATTCACGATCTCAAACATATTCTCAAAACTATCATTTTCAGGGACTTCAAAATCAATATTTTGATCACTGACAGATTATTCACCACATCCACCATCAAATGACAGTGACACTTATATTTCATTGCGTACAGTAATTGCTCTGCAGTAAAGCCATTCAAGCCAGTTCAGTTTTTGCTGATGGTTTTCTTTTGTTTTTTTGTCTGCGGTTAATATGAGTGAAATATCACATCATCATTATCTATCAAACAGTGCAACCTTGAGGAATAAAGGTGAATTTTACTTATTGAGTCATCAGATATTTAATTATTGTTGCGCAGGAAAAATATACTTACACTATTACATACCAAATTTATAATGCAATTAATCTGTGCTTTTGTTTTTATTACTTTTCTTATTTAAATTATTGAATTTAACTTCTGTATTAAAAAGCATTGTTTTTGTTTTTAAAAAGCAGATTGCAATGTTACAATATTACACCGTGTCCTAACCAGCAATTTGTCTGTCTACACAGATGTGATCTTAGGTCAAGACCAGTGTGAAGTCTCTCACACTTTGTCTCATTATTTGGGTCTCTGTGTGTCAGTTTCATGTTCTGGCTGGTGTCTGCATGAACCGGTATTTTTCACAAAGATCAAGTGGTTTTGCCTCCAACTCAAACCCCAAAGCTTCAAAGGTTAAACACACAACTAAGCTCAAATTCCTTTCAGGAAAAAAAACACACTCCATATAGACTAAAACACAGCCTCGGACAAAATGCTTGCTTAACTATGGTTCAGATTGAAGCACCAAATACTCACTCAGGTTCTTTAGATTGAAGCACCAAATACTCACTCAGGTTCTTTAGATTGAAGCACCAAATACTCACTCAGGTTCTTTAGACAAGTGCAGAGACATGCAACTGTTTTTCTCCGTAGTCTTAGTTTAAGGAAAAGTTTAATTTCAGCCTCTGCATATTTTCTTATCAATGTTCTGCTTTTGTTCCAATTTGTACAGGTCTAATTGAAACCACTTTTTTTTTTTTTTTAAACAGCCAGCACTGTTCAGTAAAGTCAAATTACATATATTTATACTTAAAGAGCATTGTAAAACCACAAATTTTGACAAAGTGAGATATCAAAAAACTAAACATATAAAGATATAAATGCATAAACTGTCAGTTTATGCAATGCAATTTAAAAATGCCTGTCAACTGAAATGCATAGCATGACAGTAGGACCTGCATGTCGGTGCATGAATCAAAATGTGCCCTTTCCATGTCTGTGTCTGAGTTATTAAATGAGAGAATGACTCAGAACATGAATATGCAGAAGTTCAAGGATAACAGCTTTGAGGCTCTTGGCATGGTGTCTTTGCGTTTGGACACGACCGTGTGGGGTTGCCTTGATGGCAGTATCCCTGGAACCCAGCAACCCTGAGGGAGGAGGCTGGCCTGTGTGTTAAAGACTTTGGGTCTCTAAGTTAATGTCTACAGCTGTCTCTGTGTACTGCTTTACTTGGCTGCAGACATAAAGAGAGGAACTTCAAGCAAATTAACGCTTCCTTCAGGAATTACAAATGTAATTCCTATAAAATGTTCATGAAGCATAACTGATCCATTAATAGAAACCCTATAAAGAACAGTCCAATACAGAACTGAAACTGAGCATGGAACCAGGGGTCTGTGTGAAAGAACTAGGCTACAGGGGGTACGTGGAGAAGATGTATAAAACGAAGCCTTTTCTTTAAAATATTTCACAACTATTTGAATGAACTTATTAGAACTAATAATCTAATGAGCATTATATACCCTAATGTAATATTATATCAATATTTTAATGAAAGTTATCATAAAATGTTATGAAGAAAAAAAAAATTATTCTGGGGGCCCCTGGGGTAGCTGAGAATCTGGATGGGAGGTCCCTGGGTCTGTGCAGGTTGTAAATCCCTTAAAAAACGTAATTATGCACTCCAAATGAGTGCATATGATCCTGTGCATTGTTTCTTGCTAATTTCGTTTAGGCATTAATTGATCATAATAAAATAAATATAGGCTATAAATAATAATAAAACATTTCTGCAAGTCAGGCAAACTCCTAACTTTTTCACTGTCCTCCGTAGTCACATTTCGGGGTACAAAGACGTGCCTGTTAATATTTTAACGCGCGCAGTTTTTTTAATTAACTTCTTCAACGTAATGAATTAGTTGTAGCGCAGAACATGATTTGTGTTAAACACACACACACTCACACAGACACACACTGTGCCGCTTCTTACCTGCCATCCGCAAATGAAGTTACATCCAGCCATTTGCCCATCTCGTTTTTCACGCAGGGCACGTTAGGGTAAGGGGGACGGGTCAACATCCCGTTGGGGTACCACTGTGCAGGCGGAGGTCGCTCCCTCGGAACCAGAGCCTCGCTTCGGCCGTACTCATAGGGGTTACAGATAAAAGGCGTTTCGTGGCCAGATGCGTAAGCGGTCCTCTGATTGGGAGGTCCGTACTGGCCGTTACTGTCCTCAGCGTACCTATGCGGGTACGCCCAGGTGTCATTCAGTTCACGGGGCATCATCTCTTCCTTGATTTTGACATTATAGAGATTCACGTAATCCTCCACGGGGCCCGCGAACTCGCCGGACATCTCCGCAGGCTTCGCGAAGCTCTGGCTCGGTCCGTTTTCTAGCTCCGGGTGCACGAAATGGGTCATGCTCGCGGGCAACAGTTGTTCAAACAGGCACGAAGCCGCTCGCGTTGCGTCCATATCCGCTGCTGTCGTACCTTCTGAACTCAGGTTGCCAAAGTCACCGGACAGGCTGCCGAACTCATGCACCTGCTGTACATCCGTGGTTACGTGTGATCGAGACGTGCTGCTGCACTGCAAGGTCGTCCCCTCACCTGCTAGCTGCTCCAGGTCGCAACTTTTAATCATCCAGAGCAATTTGTCCCTGCCTCGCAGCTCTGTGCCTCTGTCTCGTCCCGCCGCGAGAGCGTACTCTCTGTCTTTCCCTCCTGCCTCCCTTTCGCTCACTGAGCAGTTGAGCAAAGGCATTCCAATCAAATAGATTTCCTCACTACTACTTTCATTGGTCAGGGGCGGCGGCGCATGGTGCGGTCCCACCTCGCCAAGTTCGCTGGACTCCATAGCTAAGCCCAAAGACACGGACACGGCTTTGCACAGCTCTCGCGCTGTCTCCGAGATGCTACTGCCGCTGTCGCCGCTGCTGCTGCTGCTGCTGGTGGTGCACGCGCGACTTCTACTCGCCACACTTGCGTCACGGCTCGAGCCCAACTCGCGCGTGTGAACTTCAACCGCACCGCAGCGCTTCTGTCCGCTCTCAGCGCCCCGAAGGAAACCTGCGCGACTGCCGCTGCTTTCGGTGGCGTCTGCGCGGCCCGAGCCGCTA